GGATGGTGAGTGGCTTGGAGGGGAACTTGAAGGTGTTGATGTTCCCATATGTCTGCTGCCTTTGTCCTTCTAGATGGAAGTCGCCATGGATTTAGAAGGTGCTATCTGAGGATCTTTGGTGAATTTCTGCAATGCCCATTAAACCCTGTGTGAATTGTTAGGAAAAGGTACATGTATACAGCATAAGACTTCAATTTATGTATTGAAAGTACTACCTGTTGATCATACTTCCAGATCAACAGGATAGTTTTAAATATGGACCTGTATTCAGAGAACAAACTGTTGAGGAAACCACTTGAAGATAATGGTTTGGCTCAACTAAAAATTCACTTGAAATAACAGAGAATAGGTTCTCATTAATACCACATATTTTCTACATGAATATAACTATAGGTGTCATTTGTACAAAATCAGCAAGGACCATGTCGGGTGTTTACTTTAAATTTGCCATCTGGAATAATGTTTAACTGTCTTCAGCTTAAGCTCAGTACATTGCCTGAAAGATACAATTCACTGTGCCTGAAATATATTTGTCATGATCTTATCTTTGAGGAATGACCCGCAGATGGTATCACATTACTTGGATTTGCTCTTCAATGTTTATCCTTACACCCCTAGTGGCAGCAGCTGACAGTTTTGTTATACTTAATGGCTCGCTGTGTGACTGGTGTATCGCAGAGCTGAGGCAGTGATGCACCCTAAGAAGTATGCTGCGTTTTTAGCTGATGAATAAGTTGTATGACTTCTTCAACCTTCTCTTTAGAAAGAAACAATTCATAGAATGAGGCATAATATTCAACCATAAAATGTAGAAGCTGATGTAGACCATTCAGCCCATCAAGGCTGCTCTGCCAATCTATGAGATTAAGGGTGCTCTGATAATCGTCAACTCTACTTTCCTACCTTTTCCCCATAACCCTTGATCCCCTGACAGAATAAAAATCTATCTTAACATTGAATGTACTTAACAAACCAGCCTCTATAGCTCTCTGAGGTAACAAATTTCACAGATTCACTACCCTCTGAGAGAAGAAATTCCTCCTCGTCTCTGTCTAAATGGGTGACCCCTTACTCTGACAATGTGCTATCTGGTCCTAGATTCTTCCACAAGGGGAAACAATCTCTTGGCATTTAACCGGTATATTCCTTAAAAGTCTTGTATTTCAATAATGTTGCAGCTCTTTATTCTGAAATCCAAAGTCTACAGGTCCAACTATTCAGCTTCATGATGTAAGACAGCACCCTCCATACCTGGTATCAGCCTTGTGACATTTAAGGAGGTGTTTCAGAATACTCAGAAAAAGTATATTCCAGTGAGAAGGAAAGACTCTTAGAAAAGGATACACCAGCTGTGACTGACTAAGGAAGTTAAAGACAGTGTCAAACTTAAAGAAAACATAACTCTGCAAAGGTCAGTGGAACAGTCAGAAGATTAGACAAAATAGATTGAACAACAAACCATTGCCAGCCTATTAATTAGGAGAGAGAAATTAGAGTATGAGAGAAAGCTAGCTTTAAAAAATTAGTACAGATTGTAAGAGTTTCAACAGGCATCTTAAAAAAAAGTGAACATAGTAAATGTTAATCTTCTAGACAATGAAGTCTGAAGCATTAATATTAGAAAATAGGAAAATGGCAGAGGAATTCAACAGATACTTGTGTCTGTCTTCAGTGTAGAGGATATCAATAATATTTCAGAAATAGTTGTTAATCAGAAAGTAAAAGAGTCTAAAACAATTACATTCACCAGTGAAAGGGTGTTGAGAAATATTAGAACTAAAAGCTGACAAGTCCCAGGCCCTGTTGGACTCCTGATGGTCTTAAATGAAGTGGCTGCAGAGATAGTGGATGCATTGGTTTTAATTTTTCAACATTCCTTAAATTCTGGTAAAAATAATGGTTAGATTAACATCTATCATAGGGAAAATGCCCTAATCTTCTATTAAGGAGAGGTCACATTGAAAATCTCAATGTAATCAGGTAGTGTGGGCATGGTTTTGTGAAAGAGAAATCAGATTTCATTAACTCATTGGAGTTTTTGAGCAAGTAACAAGCAATGTAGATTGCTACTGATATAAATTTGTTGCTGCTTTGAAGGCAAGCAATCTCTGTTCGCAGAAGCAAATTAAGCTTTTGTTTGTTAGTTTTCCTTTGCTTTTGCTGTTGCTGAATTAAGTTAGGGTTAGGGTTCTTTTCAAAAGGCTTTCCAGTATGTGATGGTCACACATTGAACAATGAGAAGGTGGTAGTCTATGCTGTGCATTGCGGAAAGAATAGCATTCACTTAGATAGGGTACTAAGATGGGATGATGCTATGAATGGGAAACTTCTGTTACTTGGTTCTTAAATAACAGTTTATTTATGAATGTGCACTTATATTTACAATGAATTATCACTGTGTCACTTATGTGTCCTCAGAAGCATTTTTATTTGGTTAACCTCCCACTACCTGCACATTGAAGGGCAGTTCTCAGGGGAGGCAATGGCCTCATGGTATTATCAATGGACTATTAATCCAAAGACTGAGACTAATGTTCTGGAATGGCAGATGGTGGAATTTGAATTCAAAAAACAATATGGAATTAATAGTCTACTGATGACCTTGAAACCATTGTCAGAAAAACCCATTTGATTCACTAATATCCTTTAGGGAAGGAAACTACCATCCTCACCTGGTTTAGCCTATATATGACTTCATGCCCACAGCAATGTGATTGACTGCAATTAGAGCAATTAGGGATGGGCAATAAATTCTGCCTAGTCTGTGATGTCCACATCCTATGAATGAATAAAAACAAAATTCCTGGCTGGCAATGCTTGACTTGGTGCAAGGCCGGCCTTTAAGCATTGCGTTGGGAATCCCAGGAGATCCTAGCAGTGCATACACTTTCACCTTTGATGAGAGTCAAAATAGGGCAAGCAGGGTGCCATTGAGACATGGTGACTGGGTAATGGGTGAGTAGCGGAGAAGAATGTGGGAAAACTAACTAGGGCTCATGGAAAGAAAACCCTCTGTGAAACTTGCCAAAATTGACATTTAGCCAATTTTTGATAAAATTGATCCCATAAATTTACTTCACAAGTACAGCATATGATTAGGAAGGCAAGGCAAATCAAATGTTGCTCTTTATTGCAAAGGGAATGTAATACAGAAGTAAGGATGTTTTGCTTCAGTTACATAGGACATTCAGCAGTCCACATCTGAATACTGTATAAAGTTTTAGTCTCTTTCAAGAAAGGATACAAATATGTTAGAAGCAGTTCAGGAAAGGTTCACTTGAATGATACCTGGGATGGTGGTTGGGGGTTGGGGATGGCATTGTGTTAACTGTGAGGAAAGATTTGACAGGCTGGACCTGTATCCATTGGAGTTTGGAATAAGAGGTGATCATATTGAAATATATAAGATCCTAAGAGAACTTGACAAGGTGGATGCTGAAATGTTTCTTTTTCTGGGAGAAACGAGAACTAGGAGACACAGTTTAAAAATAAATTTTTAATTTAAGACAGAGAAAAGAAGGAATGTTTTTTTTTCTCAGAGGGTCATTACTCTGAAATTCTTTCCCTAGAATATGGTAGAAGCAATGATTGATTAGTTTTAATGCAGAGGTAATAGGAAGAGATTCTTGACAATGATCAAAGATTGTGCTAATCGGCAGGAAGGCAGATCTGAGTTTACAATCAGATCAGGCGTGATCTTATTGAATGGGGGGCTGTATGGTCAATTCCTACTTCTGATTCTTATGTTTATATGTAATGAAATGATGGTTAATTATCTTGATTCATGAGATGAGAAGTTTATCCTATGAGGAAACATTGAGTGGACTAAGCCAAAGTCCCTTTAAATTATAAGTATGATGGTTGATTTAATTGAAACATATAACTTTCTTATGAGGCTGAACAAGGTGGATGTTAAGAGGATGTTTCTCCCTGGCTGGCCTCCGTACAACTAGGGATCTTATTGTCCGAATAAAGGTCAGCCATTTATAACTGAGATGAAGAGAAATTTATTCAAAGTATTGTAAATCTTAGAAATCCTCTGCTCTAGATAACTGTGTAATTCCAGAAGTTAAGTTATACTGAAGATAAAAATCAATAAGTTTTTGGGGCACTAAGCAAACAAAGAATGTATGGATAGCGTAGGAAGGTAGATTGAGTTTGAAGATCAATAATGATGTCATTAAGAAATAGAGCCAGCATTAAGGACCAAATAGAGTACTCCTGCACCTATTTCTTATAGTCTACATCAAAAGTGCAACAAAATCATTTCAGACAAGAAAAAGAAATAAAGACTTTATCTGAAAAATAATGATGCAATAGGCACTTCGTTTATGTTCTGCTATGACCATGTAGTCACTATTAAACACCTAATTAGCATTTTCATCAGACAAGAGGGTTCAAATATCTGAATCTATTAGACAATTTCATACATACCATGTGGATAGTCAGTGGTTCTGCTGTGTTCTGAATGCTTTTGTGACATTAATTAAAAACATATATTTTTATTTCCTCCAGAAATCAAACAATGATTCATTCTAAAGTGTGCAAAAGTTGCTCTTGAGTATACATCAATCTCCAACTTAAATGAGCATGCAAAGATTCTGGTGTTCCAAGATCCAACATGGAATCTGGGCTGGCTGAACTACCCTGATATTTGGTAACAAGTAAGTTATCCTTTACGTAGGCATGCTAGAGCCCAGTTGACTCAATATAATCTTATTTTGGGGGAACAATTTAAATGTGAAGGCTTCAATAGATTTGAACAATAGTCAATTATTAGAAAATAACTTCTAAATCACAACCTCGTTCTGTGTAAAATCCTGGGTGAGTTAAAACTAAGAGAATGTGGAACTTTTCATTATCAGCTTTCAGTGGGCAATGAGTTTGTGGGTACTGGATCTTACTAAAAACAGAATAGAAATTGTGAGTTCATACATGCCAAACTGTTAGCATTTCTTCCTGACATCAAGGTTCACAAACATAAAATGTTACTAATAAGTAGTGCAAAAGGCTCTCTCCCTCCCCACTCACAGTTTTCCTTAGTTTGGTTATTAGCACACTGGAAGAGGAACAACATCCTGACTTTCTCAAGTACACTCTGAATGTTGGTGACCAAGTTTGTTTCTTGTAGGCAGAAATTCTCGAGAGAATCAGAACAATCTCAACTGGTAATGCTACAAAGAGGGTTACGGTAGCACGTTGAGTATATTTCCAGACAAGTAATTCAGAAACCTGGATGAATGATCTGGAGACATGGGACAGGATTCTGGCTTCTCGGTTAGAGCCTTGACATCAAGATCCTATAGGAGTCACAATCCCACAGTGTGTAGGAAGCAATCACCTGGTTGTGATTTTCTTCAAATTGGCCAATTATTGACCAGAAGGTGAGCTCACCATTCCTGAGAAAGTGTGGTAAGCTGACTGCTGAACCGTTGCAGTCAATTTCCTGTAGTGATACCCACAGTGCTGTTTGGGGAGGTTCAGGATTTTGACCTAACAACAGTGGAGGAATGGTGCTACATTTCCAAGTAAGAATGGTGTGTAATGTGGAGAGGAACTTGCAAGTGATGATGTTCACATGCATCTGCTACCCTTATCTTGCTCGGCAGAGACCTTTAAGTGGTAGTGGTTGTGCATTTGGAGGGGGCTGTGAAGAACCCCTGATGAGTTGCTGTAGTTTGGGTTGCAAATGGTCTCTGTTGGTGCCACTCTGTGTCAGTGAAGGGGTACCAGCAGTGGGTTGCTTTGACTTTGATGGTGTTGAACTTTTTGAGCATTATTTGAGCTGCATGCCATCCAGGCAAAACACTCTTAACTTTATTTTATGCATGTGAACAGTTTCTGCAGAAATTAAAAGGAGGGTAACTCTTGACTCAGCCACTTGTAGCTGCAGAATTTAAAGAGAGGGTTGTGTTCAATTTCTAGTCAGTGGGAACCTGCTGGATGTTGATTGGTGAGAGGAGGGTGAGATTTGGTGGCTCATCTCCCTCCTCAGGGGCAATTAGGAATGGATAATAAAAGGTGGGTTTGGCAGAAGCACAAGCTGTGAACGAATCAAAAACTGGACCATTTTAGTAACTTTGGACTCAGATATTTGGGTTTCAAAGCAAATCACACTATTTCAATATATTCAAATTGCATCACAAATTTGCAAAATTCTGAACTGTTTTGGGAGATCTACTCCAAATAAATCTTGCATGGTCAAAACATTCTAAATTTAATACTACAAAAACGTGAACTCAATGTTTTCAATTGCAATTCAACCGTTGAACTACACACTGAAGTGTATAGTTTTATCATTAGATGTGTAAAAGAAAACATGTTCCACACACTTTCCACCAGAGGCCGCCAGACACTTGAGCAAAGACAGGGGCCCAGCAATATTTCAACATTGTATCTTTAAATATTAATTCAAAATCTCATTGGTCAGAAGCTGTGAATATGTCAGTTGAAATGTTTTAAAATATATACAAAGGCCACATTCAACAACTATAATTTTACCCAAAACCATAATACCCCTCTCCACAGATACTGCCAGACTTCCTGAGCTTCTCCAGCAATCTGACTTAGTTATTTCAATTGGACACAGTGTAAGTCGTCAACATGCCTTATAAACAAGTAAGTGCATAAATGTCCGTGTTCAAAACTGTGTGGAATCCTCGCCGTCATTTCAAACTTTAAACACATTTACAACATATTTCTTAGAACTGTGCGATATGAATCTTTATCATTAAAATAGCAGTTTTGAAAACAAAAAAAAACTATCCTTAATTATAGACTGACAAATGTACAGAATATTCTTCACCCCTACGTATAAATAAGAGAGTCAAATATACCGAACAGTCCAATTCCATCATTCGGACTTTCTTGCAGGTCTTAGTTCAGGTCTTCACAGGGGGGAGGCGGAACTCACGAGGGGGAGAGAGGTCACCAAGCGGAGAAGTGCAGTACACGAGGAGAAGGCACGGTTCACTAACGGGTGACAAAATTCGCTAGGGGGAGACACATGCCCGGAAGAATAGTATCATGAAATGTACAAGTCTCACAAAAGTTTTAGTTTCTTTTAGTCTTCATTATTGTCACTGTTGGGCCAATCCCCATTAATTAAAGCGATGTCCCGTTCAATGGAAACGCGAAACATGGGATTTTATTGCATTATAAAAGCCTATCCACCTCCATGAATTAATGCGAAAATGCTTTGTTTGGTGCAGAAACGAATGAAGCATTCCATTTCACTGAGTAACTGGATTGCGGTCTGCTGAATTCTGCATTAAGTAATGCAGATAAATGAAGTATAAATGAATCGCCTGTGCTTTAATAACTCCTTTAAAAGACAGGATCAGTATCAAAATTTCAATCAGTTCCACATTTCTACATCGTTGCGTTTAGAATTTGCTATCGCTATACTGTTATTCCGAGAATATAATTTGAAAACGATTTAAAATAAATTTAAAATGATTTTCTGTTCGGTTCACGGTAACTTCCATAGTATTTCCATAAAGGATAGCACTTTCGAGGATTTTCTCCATAAACAGGACAGAGATTGCAACAGCACGCTCCCAAGTTTTCTGCGTATTTAATTTCCTTGGTGGCAAATGTACAGCCTATCATTTCAAAACGATTTTGATTCAGACTAGAGACGGAGTGAGAGGCAGTGATGTTGTTGAACGATTCGGAGGGGAAATGGCCTGTGTTATTATGATACTGTATGTAATCAGTTCAGTATTTGCATTTCTTCAACAATTTGCAGTTGTGATTCTAACAGGCAGAGGAAGTGCTGGGGTACGATTGCCAGCCTGGAACAAGTTACGCTAGCAAAAATAAAATACTCGGTAGCAGCTTTGTTGGATTAAGTTCATACTCCCCTCACAAATTTGGAAGATTATTTGCAGTCTCAAGATGCCAAGCCACTATTAGTCTTCAGGTTAAATGCATGGCATTTTTGTTTAAGAGTTACTTTGAAAAAAGGAATCAAAGTAAGCGCCGATAAATATTGTGCGCTTAATACAGCATGCAGCAAACGCCTCCAACCTATTCTGGTATATTCAATATCTCGGTTTATTGTCTAGACATTAGGCAACGCTCCAAGGAATCGGTGGAAATGGGCAACTCCCTGTACATCACTGAAACCTCATAACGCGTATAGCGGAAGATGCCGAGAAATCAGTAAATTGTTAGTAATTTTAAGCATATTACTTTCTCAAGGCTGCATAGCGTGGACATCATGCCATGTAACATTTAATTTAATTGCTGAAGGCTCTCTGAAGCGATATGAAATGGCTGCATAATTCATAACGTTCAGATGGAAGGCCCCGGTTTTCTGTACATGAATAGCGTCCAGCCCCCTTGCTGGTTTGAAAGAACGCATGTGTTGGGATTCTCAGCGCTTTTTCCCTTCCGCTCTCCAGGCATTGCCAGGCGGGGCTGAAAGGGGTTTTCATGTTTTTGACAACGTGACCTTCATGATTCTGGACAGAATGGCGTAGACAAGCACGACATTCGTTATAAAACCGGTAAAAGAAGCTAGGTACCAGCTTTGGGTACTGTACTGTCTGTCAGTCCCTCCGGCAGGTGTCGCCCGCAGGCTCAACGCAGTCAGACCACACAGAGTCAAGTACTTGGGTCTGTCACTCTTTTCCTTTGTAACCAAACAACAGTGAAACAGACACAACATACAACCCTAAATTTATAGCACATGATTATAAAGGGCCATGATTTCGTTTATAAAGATTGTTCTTGCAGATCTAAAAATGTGCATAGAGCACATTTGTTTGGAAACAATGGGGAGGTATTTAGAGTTATTGCCGTGAAAACCAGGAGCAACAATGGGGTTAGATGTTACTAATTTAATGCGTCCCTGTCCCGCAGGGCATGCAGCACAGATGTGGATATTGAGACTCGCTTTGCGATTGTCAGTGCGGCTGAATTGCTACCTGCACACTTTTAAGGTAAAATCTCTTTTTAAAAAATCGGGAATAAGCCAGGCTAAATTTCTGATCTGTGCTTCTTTTGGTCAAAAGACCGCGTCAGGAATTAAATCACGGGATTTATGTTACTGAAGGCACTTAAACTGAATTTAGTAGTTATAGCTTTTTTTTTTATCAGTTGTCCTTAGGTGTAGATTTCTTGTACAGCGGGACATACATCGCTTCCTGGGTCAACCAGGGTTATACTGCTGTCTACATGTGACAATGATTCACTTGTTCCCTCACGCAACCAATTTATTACAGAGTGCAGGAACTGCAGATGCTGGAGAATCCGAGACAACAAGGTGCAGAGCTGGATGAACACAGTAGGCCAAGCAGCATCATAGGAGCAG